AGCCACTGTTGAAACTGATAAGTTTCAGCAGTGGCTGAATCTGGACGCCAGTTCCGACTTACATACAGATTCAACTTAAGAACAAACCTACAGTCCCTATCTTGTACGTAACCCGGGGACTGCCTGTACTGTGGTGCTATCATGGAACTGAAGTTCTACTTCCTTCACTATATCCTAAATTTCTCTCCCTCCCTGGTGCATTTCACCAATCTCATATTTGTAGACTTCTTTGTCCTCTTCTCTTGAGTCATCAATTGTGTGTTACGGGAAATAGTATTCCCAAAACTTCTTTTAAGAAGCAGCACAGAAAGCTATCTCACTCTAAAGGGAAAAAGAATGTTAAAACTGAAGTCCTTCTATTGTTCTACAGAATGAGATTGAAGCCAGTGAAATCAAGAGTTACAAGTCTGAGCAGAAGGAGAATGTTCCACCAAGTCCAGAGGACTCCATTTCCCATCGAGATCAGGAGAAGGTAAGATGTGCTCATATTAATCAGGATCAAGAACTCTCCTTGAAATGGAATCCCTTGCAGACACGCAACAGTCTTCTAAAAATTGACCTGTATTGGCTGATACAAATTATCTACATGCCGTGGGACTCATGATTTTGAGATTATCAAAATTTAGGATGTGCAAGAAGAGCACAAAACTTACCTTTGTGCAAGTCCTTAATTACAAACAGGCAAACTAGAGCTGTATTTATAAGACTCAAAATAAGAAGTCCTTTTGTGTGCAGGATATCTAGCTGTTTTTATAATTTTATAGAGAAGGGTAGTGCTTATAGTCTGTTTAAAAAATGGCAAATATTCTTGGTATGGCAGAAACCTTGAATTTCATAATGGTGGCATATTAAGAACATGGGAGGAAGAAGCATTATCTAATTGAGGTGGTGGCTGCTGCTGCTTCTAAATGATTTCTGACTTTGCTGTTGAGTCCCTAACTGAGCTTTGGGCTTTGCTTACACACTGAAATTTCTGATGATGTGCTTGAAGAGCCTCAGGTGAGAAAATTTGTAAGTGCAGAGTTCTAGGTGATAATGACTTCAAAGTGGGTAAGTGGTGATATTTTAGCCTGTTGTGGCATGGGAAAGCAGCAACCAAAAGGAGCCTTTTACAAGGTACTAATTAAACAAAAGCATAAAAAACAGCAAATAACTGCAGTATCTTAGAGACTAACAAATGTAGATGGTATCATGAACTTTCATGGGCACAACCCACTTCTTTAGAGTAAAAGCAGTTACTCTTTTCGTTCACTGTTCTGCTGTTGACTAAAACTCACTTTCTGGGTCTGGGCAAAATGCGGCCCACTAAGCCACTGGATCTGGCCCGCAGAGGCAGCGGTAAGCCCCAGGCAGGGTCCTCTGCTTGTCTCGCAGCCCTGTGTGCTGTGCAGAAACACAGCTGCCGGGCTTCCTTTCTGCTTCAAAACTGGAAGAGGGGGGAAGCTTCAGGAGCTGCCCCATCCCTAGCACAATCCCATTGGCTGGTTTCTGGCCAGAAACAAGCCAATGGGAGCTGCTTGTTTGAATAACTGGCAGTCAAGAAAAACCATGCTCCCACTCGTCAACTCAGTTATTCAGTGAAGCACATAGGCGGGCTGGCTGGCTGAGAAATGTTTTAAGCTCTGCAGGCAGGCAAGCAGGCTATTTTGACAGCTGGCAGGTAAGTCTCTTGGCCATAGCCTGCTTCTGGAACCCCAACCCTCTGGCCCCTTCCCTTCCCTCCTGAACATACCCAAACCCTTTGTCTCCCTCTTAGACCCATGCCCCCTTCCAGATCTAGCACTCCAATCTCCTGCCCCAGATCACAATACCCTTCTATCCTAAGTCACATCCCCAACCGCCCCTGCACTCCAGTCACCAGCCCTAGGTCACAACCACCTCCTTCACCCAAACTTCCTCCCAGACTCCAGTCTCCCCCCAGCATCCCAATCCCTTACCCCAAGCTCCCTTCTGCAACCACCCTCCATCGATATCATGGAAGAGTGTGGCCTTCGACCACTTTCCAAAATCTTGAACATAACATAAGAATGGCCGTACTGGGTCAGACCAAAGGTCCATCTAGCCCAGTAGCCTGTCTGCAAACAGTGGCCAGCGCCAGGTGCCCCAGGAGGGGTGGACCAAAGATAATGATTAAGCGACTTGTCTCATGCTATCCATCTCCAGCCTCTGACAAACAGAGGCCAGGGACACCATTTCTATCCCCTGGCTAATAGCCTTTTATGGACCTAACCTCCATGAAATGATCTAGCTTTTCTTTAAACTCTGTTATAGTCCTAGCCTTCACAGCCTCCTCTGGCAAGGAGTTCCACAGGTTGACTAAGCACTGTGTGAAGAAGAACTTTCTTATATTAGTTTTAAACCTGCTACCCATTAATTTCATTTGGTGTCCTCTAGTTCTTCTATTATGGGAACTAATAAATAACTTTTCCTTATTCACTCTCTCTACACCACTCGTGATTTTGGTGTAATAAGAGCACAGTATAGGAACCTAAATTGAACAGACCATTGTCTGGTAGTAGGATGATCATTTTGAAGTCATTGCAGGATAAATTTAGTGTCTGAGGCATGCCTATTTAATGGCACAAATTTCTGGAGACACAAATACTCAACAGAACCTTACTTGTACACTGATAATTCATGTGCAAAAAACCTATCTTGCACATTTCAAAGATTCAGTAAGAGTGTTTACTTTGTACTAGTAACACAGATCACTTTTAAACTATGCAGTGCTCATTAGGAAGTAGTATTATTAAAATTAAACCAGTGAAATGAACAAATTACCTTATCCAGACTTGTTTGTTTTCCTTATTAATTTCCAAAGTGAAATCCTTTGCAATAGGTCTTTCAGTCATTAACAATAGAACCTCACTAATTCACACTAATCTCATTATGGCATTTTAGTTCCTCAACATGTAAGTATATTTAAGCCCTATTTTATTGAACATAGAGAAAACTTGGTTAAAATATCGATATGGAACTTGCATTGAGCAGTTTGACCGCTTAGGTAAATTACTCTGTTACCTGAGTTTATACTAGGCTATGTCAACAGGTCTGTTAATGAGAGTGTTCTGTACTTACGAGTAGCAGCATGTGTGAGCTGAGCGCAAGGTGAAAAACAGTGAAATTCATAAATCTTTTTATAAAGGAGGATGTAGAAGACAGACAAAGCATGTTGGTTTTAAACTTCACAGCTTGTAGCTTTTATGGGTAAAATTTCAAAATAAACAGTTGCTTAGGCACCTATGTGAGGCCCCGAGGAAGGTGAGAAATCCAGAATGTATGCTTTGTAGCTAGTGTTAGCACTGTTGAGAAGTTCTTAGTCTAGGATGGACACTGTAAACAGACTTCTATGCATCTAGGTTTTCATAGGGGGCATAAGCTGTAAATGATGAGAGCCATCTGTCTCATACTCCTGCTTCAAGCATTATGCGGGGGGGGAGGGGGGGAGGGGAGAGGAACATGCTGTACAAGAGCAGTAAAGCAATGTCTTGAGCGTTTCTTCTGTGGTGGGAGTTGTGCATTTGTGGTAGTTAAGCACACATTGGCTTATGCTTTTACAAAGGCAACCGAAGTACATATGAACACATGTCTGTCAGGCCATGTTGTAGCCAGACATGAATCCCCATTTTAACATCCATCTTTGTCTGCTTGAAAGCATGCAGGGGGCACAAAGCAGAAAAACAGCATGATCTTTGAAAACCTTGGAGCAGGAGGTTCACATATGCTGGCTCAGTGACCATGGACAACTGTAAGCAGAGATAAGAGGGTGGTCAAACTAAGAGGCTGCACAAAAGTGCCCTCGACTTAACCCATATTGATACAAACACACAGCAGTCCGGCACTCCTAATTTAGCTATCTTCCTCTCTTACAAGTGTAAATTAACTTGAAACTTGTTTGTAAGAACTGGCGCCACAAAACGGACCAGTACAATTTGGCAACTTAAGATAAGAGAATACGGGCCCCCAGGGGTATAAAGATGAGTCCAGCAGCACACCTACTCTGAGTTTCAATCTACCACCTATCTGCTGGTCGGGTTTGGTGTTTGACCTCCCGAGGTTCCAGAGGGGACGCCCACCTCGTATTCGTCTTTCCGAGGAATTGAGGGACCGACCCTGGCCTGACACGCTGGAGTCGAGAGGCACAGAAGGGGGTAAAAATTGTACCTGGATGTGGTCCTTTAAGAGTGTGTGTGTGTGCATAGTGTTAGAGCTCTTTAAAGATTAAGCTGTCACTTGGTACCATTATTTCTATTTTCTATCTTTACCTTTTTCCTGTAACCATTTTTAAGACCTATATATATTTGCTAGCATTTAAGAAATAGAGCAATAGCCAT